TTTGGGATCGAGATTTTTCCAGGGAGGTTCGAAAACCCCAAGGGGCCTGAGGGGGCAAGAGCGAAGACCCCCGGGTCTCTTGCTAATTATAGAAGTGGAAAATTAATTGGGGGCCCAAAAACTAATACATAGAAAAAAAACAAAAAATTAGCCGGGGCATGGGGGGAGCCTGCCTTGTAGTTCCCAGGCTAGCTGGGAGGGCTTGGAGGCAGGGAGGATTGCTCTGGCTCACAGCAACCTCAATCTCCTGGGCTCAGCGATCCTACTGCCTCAGCCTCCCGAGTAGCTGGGACTACAGGCATTCGCCACCATGCCCGGTTAATTTTTTGTATATATATTTTTAGTTGGTCAATTAATTTCTTTCTATTTTTGGTAGAAACGGGGTCTCGCTCAGGCTGGTTTCGAACTCCTGACCTTGAGCGATCCGCCCGCCTCAGCCTCCCAAAGTGCTAGGATTACAGGCGTGTGAGCCACCGCGCCCGGCTTTTTCTTTTAAATCAGGTGGGAATATATGTTAATTAGCATCAGACAGCTAAAGGTAGAAAGGACTTAGTGGCCGGGCGTGGTGGCTCACGCCTGTAATCCTAGCACTGTGGAAGGCCGAGGCGGGCGGATTGCTCCAGGTCAGGAGTCCAAAACCAGCCTGAGCAAGAGTGAGACCCCGTCTCTACTATAAATAGAAAGAAATTAATTGACCAACTAATATATATAGAAAAAATTAGCCGGGCATGGTGGAGCATGCCTGTAGTCCCAGGTATTCGGGAAGCTGAGGCAGGAGGATCGCTTGAGCCCAGGAGTTTGAGGTTGCTGTGAGCTAGGCTGACACCACGGCACTCACTCTAGCCTGGACAACAAAGCGAGACTCTGTCTCAAAAAAAAAAAAGAAAGACAAAGAAAGAAAGGACTTAGGAAACTTAAAAATAACCTGGTCCAAGCATTCATAAGATGCTTGAGGTCTCCCTTCAGCCTGCCGACCAAGTGTCCCTTAGCCTTTGTTTTTTGTTTCTTTGTTTTGAGACAAGGTCTTGCTCTCTCACCCTGGGTAGAGTGCAGTGGCATCATGATAGCTCACTGCAGCCTTGTACTCCTGGGCTCAAGCGATCCTCCTGCCTCAGCCCCCCTAGTAGCTGGAACGATAGGCACTTGTCACCATGCCTGGCTAACTTTTCTATTTTTTGTAAAGACAAGGTCTTGCTCTTGTTCAGGCTGGCCTCAAAGTCCTGGCCTCAAGGGATCCTCCCGCATCAGCCTCCCAAAGTGTTAGGATTACAGGCTTGAGCCACTGTGCCAGGCTGAAAATCTTAAGACTCACAAGAACTTTTCAGCTGGCTACACCTTGCGGGTATATATTTATCCACCCTTTCCTGGTATCGGGGTGCAGGAACCCTAGTGGTCTGGTCTGAGAAGCCCTGCACGGGCTCAGCTCTGTGCTTGGAGTGTTCTAAAGAGCCCAGCGATCTCGTGAGAATGTTCTCGTTTGTTTTCCTTTCCCCTTCTCCCTGCTAACCTGAGGATGTTCAAAACTGCCACAGAGCAGCCGACCACTGTACCTTTCTGGTCCTAGAATCCGATGCCTTCAGTCCCAAGAATGCTCGAGATAGCGCGGTCTCCCTGAGCGAGAAGACAGAAGCAAAGCAGAGGTCAGCAGGTCCAGCCTACCCCTTGGAAGCTTCTGGACTGACTCCCTCCCTCAGCTCTGAGGGCGGACAGGGCTGTCAGGATCCAAAGTGTGTTCGTTCTTTTGATCCTTCTACCTCCAAGCTCTTATTCTTGCCCATGTCTGTCTCTTTAGGCACATGAAATACCGTCGCTTCATTTACTGCATTTATGTATGACCAGAAAACATTGCCAAGTCCCTGGAATTGGGACTGTCTGCGGGGTCTCCCTGCCGAGGGCTGGCGGCAAGCCTTGGCCAGCTCTGAGATGACTCGGGTCCTCTCCTCCTGTGGGTGGGCTGTGCCCACCGCTCCTGCGGGGCAGTCGTGGTAAATGGCATGGCTCCTGCTGTGGTTCGCCTGTGTCCCCAGTGTGGTGGGAACCGAATTCCCAATGCTGCGGTGTTGAGAGACGGGACCTTTAAGAGTCGAATAGGTCAGGAGGGGGCGGCCCACAGGGATGGACCACTGCTGTTGCCTTGGGGGAGTGAGTTCCTGATAAAGGGTGGGTTCAGCCCCCCTTCTCTCTTGCCCCCACTCTCTCTTTTTTTTTTTTTTTTTTGAGACAGAGTCTCGCTTTGTTGCCCAGGCTAGAGTGAGTGCCGTGGCGTCAGCCTAGCTCACAGCAACCTCAAACTCCTGGGCTCAAGCCATCCTACTGCCTCAGCCTCCCAAGTAGCTGGGACTACAGGCATGCGCCACCATGCCCGGCTAATTTTTTCTAGATATATTAGTTGGCCAATTAATTTATTTCTATTTATGGTAGAGACAGGGTCTCGCTCTTGCTCAGGCTGGTTTCAAACTCCTGACCTCGAGCAATCCGCCCGCCTCGGCCTCCCAGAGTGCTAGGAATACAGGCGTGAGCCACTGCGCCCGGCCTCTTGCCCCTACTCTCCAGCCCTTCAGCCCACCACCTAGAAGGATGTGGCAAGAAGGCCCTTCCTGGGTGCAGGCCCTTCGGCCTCACATTTCCCAGCCTCCAGAACCGTGAGTCAATCAAATCTCCAATGTTTATCAATCGCTAAGTCTCAGGCGTCCTGGTATAGCAGCACAAAATGGGCCAACACAGCTCTGAGGCCCGACGCCCTGGGTTTGCGCCCTGGCTCCACCACTCGGCAGCTGTGTGGTCTTGGGCCCGTCTCTCTGCAACAGAGATAATTATATCGAGCGCATCTGCTTGTTGGGAGGGTTCAGAGAGTCTATGTTATTGAATCTAAAAAGTGCTTCTTAAATGTTAGCTAAAGGAGGAAGGGAAAGGACGTTACTGTGTCCTCTATTATCAGTGTTCCTTCTGGAGGGAGGTGAGGGGTTAATGTTACCATCTACCCCCAATTCCTAGGGGCTAGGTGGCCCCTGCATCAGGGCAGAGGGAGAACAGGAAGGAAGGAATAGGGGCCTTTGCCCACTCAAAAGGGTGGCTAAGGTTCCCCCACCCTCCCCTTGCCCAGCAGCCGCAGGGAGCAGGTGGAGCAGGACTTTGGGTTAGCAGGTTGCAAGGGGAACAAAGGCCTCTTGTTACTTGCTTCTAGGTGCTGAGACAGCTGGGCCACAAGGGAGCCTGTGACCTGCCTCCCTTTGGTTTCCCAGGTTCCCCACAGGACCCTGGAGGAACAGTCCAGAAAGAGCAGGGTTGACAACCCTTTTCTCCTTGGACGGGCCACCTGTCTACCCACATAATCCCATAGTTCTTCCGCAAGAGCACAATGTGAGAAGGAGCTAGGAAGGTGCTGTTCAGCCCAGGTGGCCTCTGAGAACCCCCAGAGAACACCAACGCCCAGGGAAACACCAACGCCCAGGCCCCAGCCCTGCGATTCTGATCTGACTGACCTGGGGTGAGGTGTGGATATCGGGGATTCCAATCCCCATCCCTCCACCCCCAAACCAGACGATGCCACCGTGCAGCCAGGCGTGGGAGGCTGATGGCGGAGCGTTGGGGCAGAGTTGAGGCAGGAGGGTAGAGCTGCAGGGGAGGTGATGGGGACCCCACCAATTCAGTTTTGCTACCTTGAACCCCCCAGCCTCAGGGAGGCTTGAGGCATCTTCCGAGCATGACTTGTGCTCAGTGACTTCTTCCAGCCCCTGCCCCTGCCTCTCAGGAACCCAGAGCTTCCAGATACTTGCCCGGAACTCCAGGAAGGGAGTGTGGAGGGGGCCAGCCCACACATGCCCTTCTGGGAAGTTTGATTAGCTGGAGGAGAAATAAGGACACTGTAGTGCATTTTTCATAAAACTAAATTTAGTCAATTAAGTTTAGATTGTATCCCTAGTAATTTTTTGGCCCTAAAGTGTCCTCTTTTTTTAAAAAACAAAATCAACAAAATAGCATTGGCAAGAGACAGTAACTGGCAGCCCTGGATGGATGACCCTCACTCCCTGCTCTACTAAAAACCCTTTTTTAAAAAAACACTTCTAGGCCGGGCGCGGTGGCTCATGCCTGTAATCCTAGCACTCTGGGAGGCCGGGGCAGGCGGATTGCTCGAGGTCAGGAGTTCGAAACCAGCCTGAGCAAGAGCGAGACCTCCTCTCTACTATAAATAGAAAGAAATTAATTGGCCAACTAATATATATAGAAAAAATTAGCCAGGCATGGTGGCACATGCCTGTAGTCCCAGCTACTCGGGAGGCTGAGGCAGAAGGATTGCTTGAGCCCAGGAGTTTGAGATTGCTGTGAGCTAGGCTGACGCCATGGCACTCACTCTAGCCTGGGCAACAGTGTGAGACTCTGTCTCAAAAAAAAAAAAACCAGTTCTAGAGATGCCCATATCTGAGAACCACTGATCCAGATTCTGCCCTGAGTAAATCCCCAGACTGGATTCCACTCTGCAACCTGCAACAAGAGCACAAGGGCCCCTTCCTCCGGCTCTGTAGACCGTGTTCCAGCGGCCTTCCTTTCCAGGTCCCTTGCTAGGGAAGCTCACGTGGCCCGAGGGACCTGCACAGAATGATATCGCTCTCCCGGACTAACTATCCACTTCCTCCAGCCAGGCTGAGTCCTGACCTACCCCGGGTGTAAGCTACAGCGCACACACCTGGCCGAAGCAGCAAGGAAATGGCCAGGTTTTTGGATCATACTCAATTTTGAAAAGATGAAAGATCTTAAAAAAACAACAAACGGCTTTGTTCGGGTATAAATGGCCATACAAGTACAATAAACCTATTATTTAAAGTTGTATTAGGTACTTTTAAAGGATGTTTACTTTGTGGGCTTTTAAAAAATTTATACGAAACCCAAATTTACTTCTTACAGTTATTTATGAAGGCTGAGAAGTCCACAGTTGGGAGGAGGCCACATCTTGGTGAGAGCCTTTTTGCTGGTGGGGACTTTCTGCAGAGTTCCGAGGTGGCACAGGGCATCATATGGCCAGGGCGATGAGAGTGCTAGCTCACGTCTCTTTTTTTTTTTTTTTTTTTTTTTGAGGCAGGGTCTTGCTGTGTTACCCAGGCTGCAGTGCAGTGGCCAGATCACAACTCACTGTGTAGCTACAAACTCCTGGCCTCAGGTGATCCTTCTGTCTCAGCCTCTCAAGTAGCTAAGCCTACAGGTGCACACCACCATACCTGGCTAATTTTTACATTTTTATTTTTTCTTAGAGATAGGGGTCTCACTATGTTGCTCAGGCTGGTCTTGAACTCCTGGCCTGAAGCAATCCTCCTGCTTTGTCCTCCCACAGTGCTGGGGTTACAGGCATGAGCCACCAGGCCCAGCCTCTCTTCCTCTTTTAAAAAAATTATATTTAAATGACCCATAATTGTACATATTTTGGGGGTACAGTGTGATATTTCAATATACATATACAATGTGTAATGATCAAATCAGGCTAATTAGCATGCCGATCCCCTCAAGAAGGTATAATTTCTCTGTGTTGGGATACTTTGTGTTTTTAAATATCTTTACATAAAATTGACAAGGATCCATGTTCTTTATGCCTTAACCCTTTTCAGTCCTTCTTACGCAATTTCTGACTGGGAGGAATTTAGTGACTCCAGGTACCACTTGCTAGGGCGGGCACCCTTTGTTCTGAGAGACTGGGCTCCTAACCATCGCAAGCTGTTTCTTGCTGCTTTACAGCTTTGGCGGTGTCCTCTGACTTCATCTCCCCAGCGCAGACGCTGATTTTGTTTTCACCCCGTTAAGCCTCGAGCAAGGTTTGGGGAGGAGCGCGCAGGTGGGGACGCGCTCTCCAGGAGGCTGTGGGCGCCTTTCCGGCCTCCCAGGCCCACGCTCCGTCCCGCGCGGCGCTCCGGCACCGCACTCAACCGTTTTGAGGCTTCTGCCGCGACAGAAGCGTCACCTGCCAAAGGCAGGCGGTCGGTTTCTCCCCGTGGGCATTAAGGAAAGGAAGGTGCCCACGGCGAGCAGGAGGGAGCGCAGCGCAGGAGGCGCAAGGAGGGAACTTGGAACTCCGACTCGGCCCCTGTTCCCCAGGGAGCCCACCTTGTCGCCCGATCGCGCCCCAGGCGGAGCTTATCAAAATAAACAGCCGAGCAAACCGAGGCGGGGAGAGGAGGGAGTGGGCGCGGGGAGCGCAGAGACCGGAGCAAGTGGGAAAGGCGACAGGCCACCGCCGCCGGCCGGGCTGAGGATCCCGGCAAAGTTGAAAACCGGGAGAGTTGGGTCCCTGCCCAAAAGGTAGAGTCTGGAAAAAAGATGTGACGTTACCCAGGGACAGTTTCCGACAAAAAAGGAACTTTTTGTCAGACCCTGCCAAATTTCGACCCTAAAAGTGTTTCTAATCGGGCCCAGAGGGAATTAACCAACCATGGTGTCCGGGACAGGTCTCCAGGGCGCAGGGGGCGAGGTTCTCTCGCACCCAGGCAGGGGCCGTAGGGTCCTGGCTGCGCGAAGTTAACCTGGGCGGCGGCTCCGGAGACAAAGGGCCACGGCCCGAGTCCCCTCTGTGAGCCACCCCAGAGGGGTGGACGCGGAGGGAGGGTTGAAGGCTGCGGGCCGCGCCTTCCCCGCGCCCTGCTCGCCCCCTGCGCCCTCCGGGTCAGCGCGCGGCAGCCCTACCTGGCTCCGGCCCCGGGCTCGGGGTCCCACTGCACCGCCGAGGAGTACAGGGCTAAGAGGACCCCACAGCAGGCAACCGCGAGCAGGAGCACCGGGCATAAGAGCGAGCTGCGCGGGAGCCCCATGCAGCCTCCCGTGACGCGCCGCCGTCCCGCGCGGAGGGGAGAGGCCCGGTGAGCCGGCTGGGCTCACAGAGGCGGCCGCCTGCCCCGCCCCGCCCCGCCCTGCCCAACCCCGGCGCCCGCGGCTCCGCCCGCCCTGCAGCTCTCTCTGCCCCGGCCAGGCCGCCAGACGCCACCGCGCCCTCGGGGCTGGGCGGCGGGTCCCGGAGGCGGGAGTGCGCCCCAGGTGCCGGGAGCCGCGCGCGCCCCGTCCGGCGATGCCTCCTGCCCCGGGACTTCGACAGCGGCCACTCCTGCCGCTGCGCTCCCGCCAGCCAGGGACTGGGCAGGGCTCATTCCCCGCGTTGTCAAGGGCTGGTGCGCACGGTCCAGGGGACAGGCCGGGCGCGGGGAGACGCCGCCACCTGCCGCGTTGGCTGCGCACTGCCCGCTCCGGCCCGGCTCCACACTTCCGAGGCCGGTGGGCTGTAGCCGGGAAGCGACACGTCCGGTTCCCCTGGGAAGGATCCGCAGACCTGTTAGTTTGGGCCCTGGCGCCTCCAGTCCTTCCTGAACTGGGGGCGTAATAAGGCACTGGTTCACCTGAACTGGAGGTGGAGGGGTGAGGTAGGGAGCCTGCGGTGATGGGACGCGTGGGGGGAGCTGAGGCTGTCATCCCTTTATTTGGTGACCATCCAGACACCAGGTTGAGGGGCAGGCCCTTCAACCACATTTCATTCCTGTTACAAAATGAGGCCAACCAGGAGAGCGCCACCGCAGCAGAGAGACCCGCTGAAAGGTCTAGCAAGGCTCCAGGGTCACCAGGAAGGGCTGGGGAGGCTCCGGCCCCCAGGTCCAGGGTCTTTGGCCCCAGAGACCTGTGAAATGCCACAGACCCCCGGGAGTCTGCAAGGATGAGAGGGACCTCATGCTTGACCATGTGTCTACATGCTTTCTGCTCTTAACTCTTTTTTTGGGTTTTGTTTGTTTGTTTTTGAGACAGGGTCTCACTCTTTTGCCTGCGGTTGAGTGCAGTAGCACCATCATAGCTCGCTGCAACCCACCAGCACCTGGGCCCAGGTGACCCTGCTGCCTCATCCTCGGGAGCAGCTTGGACTACAGGCACACCACCACTCCCCACTTTATCTATTATCTATCTACTTATTTATTTATTTATTTTAGAGATGGACGTCTCGCTATTTTGCCCAGGCTGGTCTCGAACTCCTGGCCTGAAGTGCTCCTCCCACCCTGGCCTCCCAAAGTGCTAGGATTACAGGCGTGAGCCACCGGGCCCGGCCTCTCACCTGTTCTTCATGTATCCAAGAAAGTCTGGGTGCAGCAGCAGGTATCTGTCCAATTGCAAGGCTTTCAGAGAAGCGTCCTGGGGCCCGTGTCTGTGCTCAGAAATGGGTCATTCGGATCATTCCCACTCGGTTTGTCTGCCTGGTCTGATGTGGGCTGAGTTGAGGTCACTGGAGGTCACTCACATCAAGCCAGTCCTTTCCTTTACCCCAGGACGGCTGAGCAGTGAGTAGGGACACGCCTGCTACCCTGTGGATGGGCACGACTTGGGATGCACGGTTTCACATCTTTCATTTCCATCTTCACGGTTGCGTTTGTCGAGCTCCCCGCAGATGTGACTTATCCCTTGATCATCGCCTTTCCTCAGGGGTTAATAAGACCCCAGACCCTCTCTCTGAGCCCATGAATTCCCCCTCCTACCCCTGCCTCTTAGGAATTTCCTCACGTTCTACTTCTTCGAGAGAAGGGGCATCATTAGCTAGTCATTTCTTTACCTTTCCATCTTCAAACATATGAACTTGGCCCCCAGCACTCCCGCTTGGGAGGTAGTGATCCAGGGCCACCTCCAACGCCTTCAGTGGCAATATCAGCACCCCAAAGCCTCTTATCTACCCCCCCTGGAGTTCTCCTTCCCCCCAGCCCCCAGCTGTTGCTTTAGCAGCCCTCCCACCACCTCTGGAGGGGCGGACATAAACGTGCCCTCAAATAGCTTGCCCTAGAAAGCAAAGCAAAGCGAAGCAAACAAAAACTCTGTTGAGCTGGCACGCTCCTTAGCTACTCTCTCTTCTTTTCCTCCAAGTTCTTGGTGGGAAGAAGTCTATTCTGTCTCCACTGCTGCCTAAGTCCAGCTTCCTAACCCACCCCTCACTGGCGGTTTCCAGTCCCCACGCGGTGGTTGCATCTTCCTGACTCTCACGCTGAGCTCCTCCGAACCTCCAGCTGGGGGCGCTTTGCTCTCCACAGCCAGCTCTGTGCCAGCCACTCTGCAGCCAGCCTCCGGCTCGGGCTCAGACCTTGTCATCCGCTGCACACCTGTTCCCGTTCTCTAAGGACCACGCCTGGACACCTGAGTTTCTTAGGGACGGCTCACCGTGAGGCCTTCGTCTTCCCACAGACCATTTCTTCTTCTGTATCCTCTCTCTCAAGGGCCGGCGTCGCATCTTCCGAAACCTTTGTGCCTCTCTTCCCTTCCCGCCTCTCGCCCTGCCCCACAAACGCTGGTCGTTCATCAGGTAGTGGCCATTTTCTTTCCCAAATTAGCACATACATGACAGGGAGGCCACCTCTTCTTTATTTATTTATTTATTTTTTTGAGACAGAGTCTCACTTTGTTGCCCAGGCTAGAGTGGGTGCCATGGCATCAGCCTAGCTCACAGCAACCTCAAACTCCTGGGCTCAAGCGATCCTCCTGCCTCAGCCTCCCGAGTAGCTGGGACTACAGGCATGCACCACCATGCCCGGCTAATTTTTTCTATATATATTAAGTGGCCAATTAATTTCTTTCTATTTATAGTAGGGATGGGGTCTCGCTCTTGCTCAGGCTCTTTTCGAACTCCTGACCTTGAGCGATCCACCCGCCTCGGCCTCCTTAGGTTACATATATTGCCTTTGCACCACCCGAATCAAAGCTTCAAGCGTGCCCAACCCCAGACAGTACACACTGCACCCATTAGGTGCAGGCCTCATCTTAATACTCTTAATATCTAATCCTAGCTCTCTGGGAGGCCGAGGTGGGAGGATTGCTCAAGGTCAGGAGTTCAAAACCAGCCTGAGTAAGAGCGAGACCCATCTCTACTATAAATAGAAAGAAATTGATTGGCCAACTAAAAATATATAGAATAAAAATTAGCTGGGCATGGTGGTGCATGCCTGGAGTTCCAGCTACTGGGGAGGCTGAGGCAGGAGGATTGCTTGAGCCCAGGAGTTGGAGGTTGCTGTGAGCTAGGCTGACGACACGGCACTCTAGCCCGGGCAACAGAGTGAGACTCTGTCTTAAAAAAAAAATACTCTTAATATCTAAGAGTTTTGTTTTGCTTCTTAACTTTACTTATAAATTTGCTTAGGTATTTCAATTCAACTCTAAAAAGAAATGGAGAAACACATTCTATGCATGCAACAAAATATCACATGTACCCCATAAATATATACAAATATTGTGTATCAGTAAAAAAAAGAAAAGACATGAAAAAGAAACCCAAGTGTTCATCAACAAATGAGTGGATAAACAAAACATGGCATAGCCATATGATAGAACGTTCTTTAGCCTGAAATAGAAAGGAAATTCTGACACATGCTACGTGGCGTTGGTGAATGTGGAGGTCATAACACTAAACAAAAGAAGCCAGTTGGGCCGGGCGCGGTGGCTCATGCCTGTAATCCTAGCACTCTGGGAGGCCGAGGCGGGTGGATTGCTTAAGGTCAGGAGTTCGAAACCAGCCTGAGTGAGATCCCGTCTCTACCAAAAATAGAAAGAAATTGACCAACTAAAAAAATATATATATACAAAAAAAAATAAAAAGAAGAAGCCAGTTGCAAAAAGACAAATATTGTGTTTGTAAGGTACACTTACAGGATGTCCCTAGATTAGTCAGATACATAGAGACAGAAAATAGAATGGTGGTTGCCAGGGGCTCGGGAAAGGGTAAACGGAGAGCTATTGTTTAATGGGTATAGAGTTTCAGTTTTTGCAAGATGAAGAGTTCTGGAGATTCTTTGCACAACAATGTGAATGTTCTTAACACTACCTAACGGTACACTTAAAAATGGTGAAGAGGGCCAGGTGAGGTGGCTCACGCCTGTAATCCTAGCTCTCTGGGATGCTGAGGCAGGAGGATAGCTCAAGGTCAGGAGTTCAAGACCAGCCTGAGCAAGAGCGAGACCCCGTCTCTGCTAAAAATACAAAGAAATTAATTGGCCAACTCAAAATACATAGAAAAAGTAGTAGTCGGGCATGGAGGCCCATGCCTGTAGTCCCAGCTACTTGGGAGGCTGAGGCAGGAGGATCGCTTGAGCCCAGGAGTTTGAGGTTGCTGTGAGCTAGGCTGACGCCACGGCACTCCAGTCTGGGCAACAGAGCGAGACTCTGTCTCAAAAAAATAATAATAAAAAAATAAATAATAAAAAATGGTGAAGAGGACAAATTTTATGTTATGTGTATTTTATGTGTATTTTATGTTATGTGTATTTTACCACAATTTTTTAAATGCAAAAGAAAAAATAAATGGAAAAAAGGTTCAATTTTTAGTAAATTGATTTTCCGTTCAGATCTTATTTTCATGAATATGGATTCACTTTTTTTTTTTTTTTTTTTTTTTTCCAGCAAGAAAAACCTGAAGAATGGATTCACTTTTGTTTGTCACTACAAACAGAGTGAATTTGCTGGGGACAGAGCTATGGGAATATTCTCAGGTGCAGTATGATGCAATGGAGCCTGTGTATGCTTATGCTAAGTAACTTGCTTACCTGTGAGCACACTGAATAGACTCAGAGCTAACTATGGTATAGTAGTTATCTGTCAACTATCTGTCGACTGTGCTTTTGGGCTCTTTGTTTCAAGTATTATACAAGCACAATGATGAGATCATAGCTTACTGCAACCTCCAACTCCTGGGCTCAAGTGATCCTCTTGCCTCAGCCTCCAAAGTAGCTGGGACTACAGGTGTGCAGCCACCACAACTGGCTAATTTAAAAATTTTTTGTTGAGATGGGGCCTCGCTATGTTGCCCAGGCTGGTCTTGAACTCCTGGCTTCAAGCAATCCTCCC